TTTCCCACAACCTGTTTCCAGGACTGAACAATAAACCATTTCAGAGATTCGTTTGCAGAGATCTAATACTGACCAGTGGCTGCTGCTTCCAGCCCACACCCAAGGAGGCTGCTCTTCTGGCTCAGCGGACCTTGGGAGCCAGGAAAGCGGTGTGAAATGAGTGGGTATGCCCTGCCTTTCCTAAGTGGTCAGAACATCCAGGGGATTGCCCTGGGTGAGATCTTCCAAAGCAGAGAGGAGCAGAGCCTGGGGCAGTGATCAATCTGTACTTTAATGGCTACACTGCTGCAGTCAGAACTACATGGACAGGAGGGTTTCGGGGTCCCCTACCTGGGCATTGCACACAGTCTGTTTCACTGGACAGAAACCTAGAGTCAGGCCTGAGTGACCATAGCGGGCAGCTTGCCTACCACAGCAGAGAGAACCTCAGAGTGGAAGGCCAGTGAACTGGCATCCAAGCGGCCAGGCTGCTCTAATGAACCACACATAGTCTGGAGCCTCCTCTGAGGAAAGCAGGCAAGAGGCCCAGGTGCTGCTTCCATGGGCTGGGCAGGAGTGCGGACCGGTCTCTGCAGGTCGGGATGCCTTTCACATGTTGGTGCTCATCCGTGACTGGCTGTTGGCTGGCGTCAGCTCCCCTTGGCTCCCTTCTCTAGGCGGAGACTGCAGTGGACAGAGGGGTCAGTGGAAGCTGTGTGAGTGCTGCCCGTTCCTTACCCCAGCTGCTCACCTTGACATGGATCTGGTTGCGCAGCACAGCTGCCCTCAGAATCATGGCCTTGGCACGTCGCTGGAACTCCTTGCCCATCAGCAGGGACTTCTCAAAGGTGGTGCTGCGCTGATCCACATCTCGAGCATACAATATCTGTACAAGTAGGAGAAGCAGTTCAGAATGGCCCAGCAGGCCACGCCCCCAGCAATCCCAGCCCTAACTACGTACCTTGCTGTGTGAATCGATGCGGGCATTAATGAGCCCTTCCAGGATGAGCTGTGTTAGCTCATCCTCCAGAGCCGCAACTGTTGTGTTGAAGGCTGCAGCCATCTTGTGCATATCAGCTGACACGTAGGGGCTGAAATACTACAGGATGGAGGCCACAAGCTGTCCACTGTCCCCAGTGTCTGCACCCCACACAGCCTCTGACTGCCACTCCCCTCCCCCACTTACTTGGATGAGAGCCCGGTTGCGAATCTGGGTATACAGCGTCCGGACATGGGGGGCCAGGTACATGTCCAAGAGCAGGTTGTCCTGCAGAGGAGAACTGGTCAGTGACCCGAGGCACAGGCTAGCCCAGTCTCAGTGCAACTGTTCCTGTTTCCTACCTTCATCTCATCCAACATCTTCAGGCATGAGGCATACTTGGACTCATAGAATTTGAAGATGATGTCTCTGACCTGTGGCTCCAGCTCCAGGAACAGCTTGAAGGAGCTGAGGATACCAGAGTGCTCAGCTAAGAAGGGACTAAGGGCCTGACCCTGGGCAGGCACAGGAGGTAGGAGCCACCACCCAACTTACCTGCTGGAGATGACATTGCGTTGCAGCTCCTGACGGTCAAAAGTGGCTAAGGCACACAGGCCACCATAGACAGCCACATTGCTGGGGGACAGCAGCTGAAGGCAGAAGGGGAGGTGGGGCCAGAGACCTAGGGTCCTGGGTCATGGGTGCACACACCAAGGAGGAAGCCCAGAGCTGGGGCCTGGCCTTCCTACTACCCACTCAGACATGCTTAGACCTCATTCAGGAGAGGTTACCTCAATCCATGAGCCCTCACTTCCTCTTATGGACCTGGACAAGCTCAAGAGTCCTACATGTGCCTCCTCACCTCTGGGAAGTCACAGTGATCAAAAGAAGCCAGAAGGAAGCACTTCGCAGCTTGCTTATACTTTCGTGCAGCCAGCTCAGCCAGGCCTAGAGGGACCAGGCAGGAGACAGTGAAGACAGGCTATTAGAGGAGGTTACTGGAGCCCTAGGAGACTGGTCATCAGTGGACAGCCCACTGGCCTCCTGCCCCCAGTACCCCTCAGTTTGTTAGTAACAGCATCTAACTGAAGACATTCCTGTAAGTATGTCTTCAGGGAAGCCTCAAATGCCATAACATACAGCCAGGCTTGGAAACCAGCTCATCTACTTTCCCACACCCCACCGGCTTCTCTGCCTGAACACAGAAACACACGGAAGCCCTGGAGCCTGCCAGTACTGTACCTCTAGCTATTTCCCCAAGGTTACAAGGGCTTGAGGTGGCTGGAAGCCTCACCTGCAGCACACTTGAGCTTGGTGAGGATGGCCTGGGTCTGGCTGTCCCGCTCTCCACGCTGCTACAGGGGAAGGCAGCAAATATGAGAGGCCCTACCCTGCCCTCCTTGTTCAAGGGGCTCTACTCCCTGTCCCCCAGCTTACCCAGGGAAGGGTCAAGAGCAAACTCAAACGGAAGTTGAGGCTAGGAATGGGTATGGGGGCTACCAGGGGGCCCCATGGAGGTGGATCTTACCTCAGCAATCTCTGGAGTAGACTCAGCCTTGCTGACATAGCTTAACACATGAGACCAATTTTGCAAGTAGACACTGACCTGGCAGATGAGTAGGCAAGGCCGAGCTAAGTCTGGTGGCCTCTCCGGGCCCTCCATGCCTACCCACTGTCCCCTAGGTCACCTTGATGACGTTGAGGCACATGTTGATGACATGCTTAGCACTGGTACAGTAATCCCGGGCTCGTGAGTAACATTTGAGGGCATTGCTGAGGTCCCCGCAGTCCAGGTAGTGATCACCCAGGTCATCATGGCCGCGCCTATAGGCCCGGGAGTGAGTGGATACTGGTCGAGGAGCCAGCCAGGCCCAGCTGCCCGCCTCCCCTGCCCAGAGCAGGCCGCACCTGATGCTCTCTTTGATGGAGTTGCCCTTGTAATTCTTCAAGTCTGTGTCCAGCTTCTCCAGTTTCAACAGGGCCTTCTTCCGAGTGGCCTCCACCCAGGCTGTATCCAGGGGTGGGGGCTCTACTCCACTCTCAGGAACGGCATCAGGTGCGTTCTGCAGCTCCCTGAAGGATAACCTAGCCATGAGGACAGCAACAACCACAAGAACCAGGGAGGAAGGGGAGAAGACATAACAAGCCACAGGCTGGTCTTCAAGAGGCCTTTGCTTTGCCCCACCCAAAGAAGCCCACCCGCACCAGGGGCCCTTTACAGAGACATTTCCTGACCTAGGAGCCAACAGTCAGATAGGGAAGTTTTAATGGAGGATAAAGGGTTTTGACCCCCCTTTTTTTGGGGGGGTAGGAGAAGGACAGCTACACCAAGTTCTGAAGAATTAGGATCCTAGCTGTGTGCACACAGGCAAAGGAGGCCAGGAGAGAGAGAACAGGGCCTGCTACCACCTCCCTGCCACAGGACTTAACTACAGGGTACTGCTACACCACAGGACTTAACGTGTACAGGGTACTGCTACACCACAGGTAGGATGCTGGGCATGACGGGCACAGAATCTGGTGGTCACTTGCCCCCTCCAGGGCCTTACCTGGTAGCCTCAGAGAGCTTCCGGTGGATCTCTTCATACATATCCACATTGAAGGTCCTCTGTACGAAGGACAGGGCCATTTTCAAGGCCTCGACCCGCAGTGGAGGACACCGGTCAGCAATGAACTGCAGCCGCTCAATGCGCATCAGGCCGCTGTAGCTGGCTGCATATTGCTCCAGGTCCTGGTGGGGGAATGGGGGGAGCAGGTAAGCAAGGACCTGACAGCCTGAGCACGGATACCAAACCTTCCCTACAGAACTGACTGCTGTCCCAGATTCTGGGAAGAGGCCACTGGTGTGGATTAAGGACCTTCGGGTCCAGCTCTGCACTGGAAAGCAGGAACACAGGCACACCCGCCAAGTGATGGAAGTTGGGGTGAGAACAGATAAAAAAGCGTGTTGGCTAGAAACAGACTTTAACGGAGGTGTTCCCACTAAGACGGTGCAGAGTCTTAAAACTGCCTGAGAAGCCAACACAGGCGGGGCACATGAAAACCCAGTTTCGTGGCTCCGAAAGATGTCACTAAAGTGGCTGCTAGGCGTCGCCATCTCCCAAAACTATCCACTACGGTGGAGAGTCTGATTGGACCCCTTAACAGACCCAAGTGACAGTAGTCCTCCCCGCACAAAGATCCGTACCAAGGTGGGGTTCTCCACCACGTAGTTGACATCAGGTGCGTTCTGGGGGTCTTCCTGGGGATCGACATCAATCTGCATAGGTTCCACAGCCCCCTGCAATACAGAAAAAGCTCCCTGACACACAGCACCAGGGAGAGCAGGGACGTCCCAAGGTACAACTGCCCTGGGCTCCCTCGGGCATTGGTGGCCAAGCGCCCCCCTCTGCTCTCCCACACTGGTGTGGGTCACAGTTCTCTGACAGATTAATGAAGCCTCCTCCAGGCCACAGATAATAAAACTGACTGACACCCTCTCTGCAGAGGTCAGGAGAGCCACAGCAGGCCGGCCACGGTGCGGAAGAGGCGCCGGGGCCTCGGGCGACGCCGAGGGCCGCCTCCCGCAGGCAGGGCGCCGGGTACCTCGGAGAGCAGCGTGCAGGCCGAGAGACTGGCGCTCAGGCTGTAGTCGCCCGACGTCCCGGGCCGCAAGTCCGACCTGCTGTGCGCAGGGCTGCGGCTCAGGTCGGACGCCGACGACGACGCGGAGCTGGGCGCCGGGCTGCCCCGCATCCTGACCGCTCCAGGGCCGCCAGCGCCCGCACGGAAAAGCGTTGGCGCGCGAGGCGGGGGCGGGGCGGGGGCCGGAGCCCAGGGCGGCCCGCGAGGCTGGCGGGGCTCGCGCGCCCAGGCCTGCGCCGCGAGCCCCGCCCCGCCCGCCGCGAGCCCCGCCCACCGAGCCCGACCCGGGCCGCACAGCCGCGCGGCGAGCGCAGCCGCCAACCCCTACCTGCAGGTTAAACACCTGAACCGGCAGCGGCATCTTCCACCCCCGGCGCCGCAGAGCGACGTTCACTTCCGGGGCGGCGCGGCCGTCAGTTCCGGGTCACGGCTCTGGGCGGGGCGCTGGTCGCTCTTAAAGGGGCCGCCTCACTCTCAGGCGGGCGCCCAGCGCCCGGGCCGGGGCGAGCGTATGAACCGTGTGCGGGGTCTGCTGTGCCGGGCCTGCCTCGCGCTGGCCGCGGTCCTGGCTGTCTTGCTGCTGCTGCCGCTGCCGCTGCCCCTGCCCCGCGCGCCCGCACCGGACCCCGGCCGGATCCCGACTCCCGGTCTGTCTCTCGAGGTCTCCCGCCTGCAGCCCGACGATGTCTTCATCGCAGTCAAGACCACTCGGAAGAACCACAGCCCGCGCCTGCGGCTGCTGCTGCGCACCTGGATCTCACGAGCCCCGCGGCAGGTGCGCACCCCGCCCCTGCCTCGCGGGTCCGGGGTCCCGGGCTGGACTCCCCTGCCCGCACCCCTGCTCCCGGGCTGAACTCTCTGCCCGCACCTCTGGTCCCGGGCTGGACCTCCCTCTCCTCCCCTCCCCCTCTGGTCCCGGGCTGGACCCCCCTGCCGGCACCTCTGGTCCCGGGATGGACCCCCCCTGCCGGCACCTCTGGTCCCGGGATGGACCCCCTGCCCGCACCTCTGGTCCCGGGCTGGACCCCCCTCTCCTCCCCTCCCCCTCTGGTCCTGGGCTGGACCCCCTGCCGGCACCTCTGGTCCCGGGCTGGACCCCCTGCCCGCACCTCTGGTCCCGGGGTGGACCCCCTGCCCGCACCTCTGGTCCCGGGCTGGACCTCCCTCTCCTCCCCTCCCCCTCTGGTCCCGGGATGGACCCCCCCTGCCCTCCCCTCCCCCTCTGGTCCCGGGCTGGCCCCCCCTGCCCTCCCCTCCCCCTCTGGTCCCGGGCTGGAACGCCCTGCCCGCACCTCTGGTCCCGGGCCGGCCCCCTCCCCGCACCTCTGGTCCTGGGGTCCCCGCGCCTGCTCCCAGACCTCACTGGGTCCTCTGGTGCCTCATGGTGTTTTCTCCCTCAGACGTTCATCTTCACCGATGGAGAGGACCCTGAGCTCCAGCTGCTGGCAGGTGAGACGCCCCCACTGGACTGAGTTGTAGCTACCGGGGCAATTGTGTTCCTGTGTCAGGCACCTGGCTGGGTTCTCAGAGCTAGTGGAGGGCAGAGCCGGGATGGGATAGCCAGTCCACCTTCCAGTGCCCATCCTTCGGGCCATCAGCTCCTCACCCGCCCCACCCCGTCCCTGGCACCCATTTTCCTTGAGGAAGCCCCGTCGGCAGTCACCTGTTCCCACCTGGGCTGTTCTAAGTGTGGTTGGGCTGCAGTCTAAACAGGAGGCAAGCTGAAAGTCAACCCTGAAATTTCCCATTTCCAACCGTGCAGGTGGCCGCCTGATCAATACCAATTGCTCGGCCGTGCGCACGCGCCAAGCTCTGTGCTGTAAAATGTCGGTGGAATACGATAAGTTCATTGAATCCGGACGGAAGTAAGTACCTCACCCCTCAGAGAACCCAGGGCTGAGCGTGCTGGAGGCTCCCACCCAAACGGGGGGCCTCAGTGCATAGATCTCTCCCTCCGCCTGCAGATGGTTCTGCCACGTGGATGACGACAACTACGTGAACCCCGAAAGCCTGCTGCACCTGCTTTCCACCTTCTCTTCCAACCAGGACGTCTACCTGGGGCGACCTAGTTTGGACCACCCCATCGAGGCCACCGAGAGAGTCCAGGGTGGTGGCGCCGTGAGTGCTGGGGCCAGCATCCTCCCCCAGGTTGACCTAGCGAAAGCTGCAGGAGCTGAGACTGGGCTAAGACAGGCATGGGCCGGGTGGCCTGGTTCCAGGCCCTTGGAGCTAGCAAACCAAGCATAGTGATAAACAAGGGTCCAGAGACCACGGTGACTTGTTCGGAACACCTGTGCCCTCTGCAGACTCTCCTGTACGGTGGCCCAGGATGACATGACTCAGCTGGAGGGTTGATGGTGAGGAGCCCTCTCCTGGGCAGCCTTGACCGAGCTTTCCCTTTTTCCAGTCAAACACAGTGAAGTTCTGGTTTGCTACTGGTGGGGCTGGGTTCTGCCTGAGCAGAGGTCTTGCTCTCAAAATGAGTCCATGGGCCAGGTAAGTGGGAGGCTGGGAGCCCAGCGGCCTGGCTTGGGGAGGGTAAGGGATACGTAGGTGCTGACTAACCCTAACCCTCCAGCCTAGGCAGCTTCATGAGCACAGCCGAGCGGGTACGGCTCCCTGATGACTGCACGGTAGGCTACATTGTGGAGGGGCTTCTGGGCGCCCGTCTGCGCCACAGCCCCCTCTTCCATTCCCACCTGGAGAACCTGCAGAGACTGCCGTCCGATGCCGTTCTGCAGCAGGTGAGACACCCAAGCCTGGGCCTTAGTCCACTCCTATGGGGACCCAGCCTCTCTCCCAGGGGGTCTTCCAGTCATGTAGAGCTCAGGAGAGGGCTAGCCGCAGGGTGCCCTTGTCCCTGGGGAGTGAGCCCTGGGACAGGCCCTCAGGAGCAGAAGCTCATGGCAAGTCTCAGAGGGGCTTCTTTATGAAGGGCCACTGTCTTGCTTCTCCAAGCCTCTACTTTAGCAGGTAAAGTACCCAAGAGGAAGAACTGACCCCCCACTCTCCCCGATCCCCCTCCCAGGTCACCCTGAGCTATGGGGGTCCTGAGAACCCACGTAATGTGGTGAATGTAGCCGGAGGTTTCAGTATACAGCAGGACCCTACACGGTGAGTGGGCACCGGGGTATTTCAGCCCCGGAGGGCTCTGGTATCAGCCCCCTGCCCAGCAGAGCTGACCTCACTTCTTCCCCTGGCAGGTTCCAGTCTGTGCACTGCCTTCTCTACCCAGACACCCACTGGTGCCCTATGAAGAACAGGGGTGAGGTAGCTTTTCAGTAACTGATGACCCCTGGTGGCTCCCTCAGGCCTTGGATTCGGCAGCAGAAGACGAAACTGCTCGAAGGCCTCCCACAATCCTTCTTCCAGTTGGGACACAAGGTTCCTCGGGATCGTGAGGACAGCTGGACTGTGTGCGGAGATCATCCAAGAGCAACAAGAAAAGTAATGCCGCCGAGCTGTGTACGGATGCTGCTGGCCCAACCCAAAGGCCCAGGAGGGGACGGGTCCCCGACCTCCCACAACTACAGCTTAAGATGGTGCCTGGTGGGCTAGTCGTGAAAGGGTGGGCTCCAGGCCTGGCCACAGACTCTTCCTGGGTTGCTCACAGAACCGCCATCCAAACCCAGAATGTGCAGACTACCTGGCCGCTGGATGCTTAAGGTCAGCCCAAGGCCCTGCTTCCCAACCACGCTGCTGTTCATCGTTACCTCAATCCCTGGCCTCCCATCACCACCAGGAGATGTTCTTCCTTTAACTGGAGGTTTAGGGGTTTCTTTGCTGAGCTTCCCAGAAATCAACAGCCAGAGCCTTTCCTCTGGCCCCTTAGGAGCAAGATGCAGCCCCAGCACCTTTTACAGGGGTGTCCCGCGGGAAGCGACTACAGTATTGAGTAAAGGCTTCTGTGACGTTCCTAGTTTGACTCCTCTCGTAATAAGCGAGCTGGACACCTGGCAGCTTGGCTCTGCGGATATTCACACAACCGCTTATTCCTCCAGGAAGGCCTGCTCCTACAGCACCAGCCACCTCCTTAACCCTCCATACTGTGAGGCCAAACAGGACTAGAGAGTGGTCTTCTTAACACATGGGATGGAACCATCGGTACACATACGTGAGCATGGCAGTTATGCGTTTTGTGTGTGGGGTACGCTGGTGATATGGGAGAGCGTAGTCATAGCTGCTGTGTGCATGGTTGTGCCTGGGTACATAGGCACATGGGTAGTGTTTGTGTGAACATGGCTGAGAGAGGGTCTGGACCCTGGCCCACGTGCGCTTGTGTGTGCTGGTGCATATGATTTCAACTTGAGATGGGCTTATGGCTTCCCGGTGTCACTGGAGGGGCTTGTGTGTGTGAAGGGCAGGAAGCAGTAAGTCGTGACTGGGTTGTACTCACCAGAAGTGAAACTTGCCTCGGAGCCCTGCATGGTGGTGCAAGCCAGTAATCTCAGCTCGGGAAGACGGAGAATTCAAGACCAGACTGCGCTATGCAGATCTGGCTCCAGAATTAAGATACCGGGGGCTAGCAGATAGCGCGGTCACTGCAGGGCTTTCCCTGAAAACCTGAGGATATGGATTTGGGCCACAAAACCCACATTAAGAGAAAACAAGCCGGGCGGTGGTGGCACACGCCTTTAGACCCAGCACTCGGGAGGCAGAGGCAGCCAGATCTCTGTGAATTCGAGGCCAACTTGATCTACAGAGCTGGTTCCAGGACAGCCAGGGCTACACAAGGAAACCCTGTCTCAAACAACCAAAGAGAGAGAGAATAAAACAAGATGTGTCGTACTTGAGGGCTGGCACCTGGGGGTAGGCTGCACGTGAACAGTCATACATACAAGGAAGAGGAAACTCCATCTTGGGTCAAACCCTATAGGTTTTGGGGTTCTTAGCCTGCTGGGTTCCAGGGAAAAGCTCTGGTTCTGCACAGTCGGGTTCCTGGTAGAAGGCCAAAGACTGAGGCTGGGAAACAGTTGAACGGGATGAGCTAGAAGCATGGAGCGTGGGAGCTGAGGCTGAGAGACAGGCACACATTTGGATGGGATGAGCTAGAAGCATGGAGCGTGGGAGCTGAGGCTGAGAGACAGGCACACAGTCGGATGGGATGAGCTTGAAGCATGGAGGATGGAGCTTGGAAGCTGCTGCAGAGTCCTCAGCAACATAGAGATATGAGGGAGGGAAGGTGTCCCTTGTATCCGCCAACGCAGCTATGACCTTGTCACCTGCCTGGGACCCTAATGTGGGCACGTGGCAAGTCACCACCCCACCCAGCACCTGGAGTTCGGAAGTCTCCTCTGATTTCCTCCTTAGCCTGCACTGTATTCTCTCAGGGGCTCCACCAGTAAACACAGTGTCTGGATTGCAAGGACCAAGGACAAGAGCAGTCTACACCAACAGGAGGGGTGTTTGTAGACTGCAGGGGTGGTAACCACCCAGAGCCGACCAGATTGGGACTGCCAGGGCCTTTCCAGAGTTAATGCAGCTTACTTAAAGACTATGTGGTTGTATCCCCAGTACCTCCACCTGCCAAGGCTGGTCCCGTGACCTAAGCATCACATAGCCCACTATATCTGTGGAAGAGCAGCTCCCACCCCATCCTGGGATCTCTGGATCATGAGGAGAAAGATTAATAAATGCCCTCTTAACTGGGTGGTGGTGGTACACACTTATAATCCTAGCACTCAGGAGGCAGAGGCAGGCAAATCTCTTTAAGTTCGAGGCCAGCCTGGTCTACAGAGTGAGTTTCAAGATACCTAGGGCTGATACACAGAAAAACTTGATCTCAAAAGAGAAGAAAAATCAGTCTGGGTGTGGCGGTGAGTACCTATAATCTCAGCACTCAGTGTGTAGAGGAAGAGGATTAGGAGTCAAAACTTCCTAATGAGTTTGAGACCATCCAAGTACACAACTGATATTTCCCAAATACATGACCTTCTGGATATAGCTATGTCATGTTTTCCTGTCCACAGTTCACAGTTTCCGGTTGGTGTGTGTGTGTGTGTGTGTGTGTGTGTGTGTGTGTAAGACAGACCTCTCTGTCTCTGTGAGTGTGTTCACCTCTGCATATTTGTGTTCATCTAGAGGTCTGAGGTGGTTGACAGTCATCTTCAATTGATCTCCACACTATTTTGAGACAGGGTCTCTCAGTGAAAATGAAACTTACCGTTTCAGCTAGACTGGATGTCAGAGAGTCAACACCCTTCTTCCCTCCTCCCTCCTCCCTCCTCCCTCCTCCCATGATCCTCTTGCTCCTTCCCCAGGCTTGGGTGACAGATGTCTGCTGCCTCCTTGCTCAACTTTTTACCTGGATGCTAGGGATCCAAGCTGAGTCCATATTTGCACAAGGACACGACTCACTGAGCCATCTCCCCAGCCCCACTTTAGGATGTATAGTGAGAGGTGTTCTTTTTCACGTTAGTTCCTAAGTTGTGACAGCGCTGGTTGTGTCCCTCTGGCTCACATAGCCTCCAGCGGCTCTCAAAAGCTTGCCTTTCTCCCCTTCTTGGGGAAAGTCTTTGGAAAGGCCTGAGGTTCCATCAACACAGTTGGCTAGTCTCTGATATTTCTGATATTTGTGTGATTGACATTGGGGCCAGGAAGCCTTCCAAGGCTCCTTGGATTTTTTTTTTTAAAAGATTTATTTATTATGAGTATAGAGTTCTGCCTGCATGTATGCCTGGACACCAGAAGAGGGCACCAGATCTCATTACAGGTGGTTGTGAGCCACCATGTGGTTGCTGGGAATTGAACTCAGGACCTCTGGAAGAGCAGCCAGTGCTCTTAACCTCTGAGCCATCTCTCCAGTCCTAGATGTTTGGTTTTTACTCAAAGAGCAAGAGACCCAGAGCTACCATGAGCTCCACATCTCCACAGCTCTCAGGGAGGGTGCTGCAACAGGCCGAGTTAATCCTGACGGAAACTTGTAAAACAGACAGAAAGAGGGTAAGGTTCCTCTCCTCTGGAGAAGCGGAGCTCTGAGCTGGGTTGTCAAGGAGATGTGACTGTCAATTCTCTCACTCTTGGTCAAGCTGAAGGCTCTGCACAGCATTTTTGTGTTTCTCTTGGGTGACTAGCCATGCACTAATGTCCAGTTTTTGGCTGTGGCTGCAGATTTTAGTCCTTTTCTACTCTGATCTGGTCATTCCTGCAGCTCAGATGTTCTGGGAAGAGACTTGAGTCTCAGACTTGAGCCCCTGGTGGTCTGTAAGCAACAGTGGAACATCGTGCAAGGAAGACTAAAGGGGCGCATACACCTCAGGAGCAGGGGTGGAGTGTGAAGATGGGCAGCAAGGGGCACCTAGGGACGAGCTAGAAGGTTGGTTGCTGAAGCACCGGGAATCTCACAAGCTCAGCTCCCGGAACGCCAGGCACACGGACAGCAGGGGGCGCTGCAGCACAGACAGAGCCGCTGACTGGGGGCAGAAGAGAGTGGTTGCTGTCCCAAGTCCTTCCAGCACCTGGGGCTGGGTCCACCTCTAGGAAGTCAGCGAAGCAGTGATCTTCTTTGTAAAGAATAAAAGAGTCGTTGGATGAGAGCCTGCTGAGGTGTGTGTGTGTGTGTGTGTGTGTGTGTGTGTCCTAGCAACGACATTGAATGGTAAGTCAATATTCCTTCTGGTGGTCATGGCACTAGGGTTCACGGGGGTGCCCCACGCTCTCTCAAGATGGGCGACTTGAGATCACAAGGAAAGAAGAATTAAGCCCCAGGTGTGTGTAGCACAGGTTTTATAGGACATAGAGCGTGAGCTCATCCATCAGATGACCAGGGGAAACCATGAGTCACCTGGTTGATCCAGGGAGGTGTTTGGGGATGGTACGTCTGTGAGAGAGTAGGGAATTCTGGCTCAGGGTCACGGTCTGAATTCAGGTATGCAGGGGAAAGCAATAGCCGGCTAGTCACAGCAAGGCCAACGGGTCTGGTGGTTGTTCAGGACACAGGAAGAATGGAGTAGTGATGTTTAGAAGCTAGGGCGTCCTCAGGGTTACTTGACGTTAGTAAAGGACTGGTGAGGTGGCTTAGTGGATAAAAAGGTGCTTGCCATCAGGTCACATAACCTGAATTTAGTCCCGGGGCCCACATATTGGAGCCAACTCCCAAAAGGTTGTTCTTTAGTCTCCGCATGCCATACGGCAAACTTGCACACATACATGCAGACAAAATCAATAAAAATTAATTTTTTTGGGGGGGGGACGGGGTTTCTCTGTGTAGTCCTGGCTGTCCTGGAACAAGTTCTGTAGCCCAGGCTGGCCTCAAACTCATAGAGATCCACCTGTCTCTGTCTCCTAAGTGCTGGGATAGAAGGTGAGAGCCACCTCTGCCTGGCTTAATAAAATTTCTTTTTTTTTAAATTTTTTTTAAAGATTTATTTATTATGTGTATAGATAGCATTCCTTCCCTGTGTGCCCGCATGCCAGAAGGGGGCGCCAGGTCTCATTACAGATGGTTGTGAGCCACCATGTGGTTGCTGGGAATTGAACTCCAGACCTCTGGAAGAGCAGTCAGTGCTCTTAACCACTGAGCCATCTCCAGCCCCCAATAAAATTTCTTGAACAATATCTTCTACACTGCTTTTTTTAAATCTCTTGGACCCCACACAGTGATGGAAAACCTGACATCTTTGCATCTGTTTTCGTCTTTCTCCTTTAGACATCTTTCTCCTTTAGACATCTTCCTATTGATTTTGAGAGTCGCAATGCCAGCCCCCCAAAGGCTCCTAGACCTGCAGTTTTCTGTGAGGCAAGGCTAGACGACCTTGAAGAACCAGACCCACCCAGGCCAGACTGCTTGTTAGACTCCTGGCTACACCTTTCTGTGTTCAACCCTATGCCTCACATCAGTACCCAGACAGTGGGCTCAGAGCTCACTAAACCCTTTCTTTTCCCAGTGTGGCCACATTGATTAAACCCCCCCTCTTCATGATTTCTCTTCTCTTTAATGCACTGGGGACACACAAGCCTGGCCTGTTGGGATTTCCAAGGCCAGGCGTCTGCCTGGAAACTCCAGTAACAAACCTTTACGACCCAGGGCAGGAGAAAGCATGCCTTTGAAGGCCACCCCAGCCAAATCTCCAGGCAAAGACTAGCGCCTGCCCTCCTAGGCCTGAGAGAAAGATCTCCACTAGCCCTTTTCCCAACAGAGCATGTTGGACCTTGCTTTTATTGTTTCTTTGAGGTCTTCTGGAATATTCTATGGTTAGGCCATTTGGTTTTTGCAGGTAAATGAGTTTTATTTTTATTTTTGTGTAAGGGTAAGTTTACTCTGTACATCATATTCATGCAGTGCCTACAGAGGCCAGAAGAGGGCATCGGATCCCCTGGAACTGGAGTTACAGATGGTTGTGAGTCACCATGTGGGCGCTGGGAATTGAACTCAGGTCTGCAAGAGCAGTCAGTGCTCTTAACCACTGAGCCATCTCTCCCACCCCTGGCAGGGAAACTTGAAATTTTGTAGGGACCATGGCTTGTTCTTTATTTCTTTGCTGTGTGGGCTTTTCACACTATTTTAAACCAAGGTCATTTATTTTATTTATTTATTTTTTTAAAGATTTATTTATTTATTGTGTATACAACATTCTGCCTCTATGTTTGTTTTTAGATAGGAAACTTGAAACCCAGAAAGTAAGACGGCTCAAGGTACCTTAAGGGGCTGGGTGTTGTCAGATCTCCGTTTTACTCTAAGAGCCCTAGGAAATGTTGAATGCACTATCAAGGTGCCCCCAAGGGAGAACTCCAGCCGATTGGTCCTCTTGTTGCGAACCTGTGACTCAAGGAACTGTAGGGATGTGTGAAGTCCTTAGCGAATGCTTTGTTGGCGTGGACGCATCAAGGACCGCCACTGCCTCAGTCCTGTGGGAGTGGCAAAGCCTCGCCCTTGGTCTGAGGGCAGGCGGAGCCTTCCTCTGCTGCCTCTGGTCTGACTCGAAGGTGACAGTGTTTGCAGAAAACATTCAGTGTAGTTTTCTGCACCCACACTGGACGACCTTAAGTCTGCTCTCCTATGGAGGTCAGCTAACCCTGGCTCCTCATTCAGTGGTATACAGTAAGTCCATCTCCCTTGTTCAACCATGTGTTATAAACACACCGAGATGGGGGCGGGGGCACTGTGGCCTTTCTGTCGCCGAGTGCAGACCACCTGGTCCCTGGTTTCCTGTGTCCATGTCTTTGTCACTTCTATTTCTCCCTCCCTGCCCCGGTGAGGGTTCCAGGGCCTCAGCTGGTTCTCTGGATTGGTTTACCCTTTCCACTCATCAGGGCGTAACTGCCTGTCTGTCTATAGCAGTGGGCTTGACGGGAGCTGGCAATCCGGTGGCAGCTGTCTCATTGAGAGATCTAGCCGCACGCTCTTCCAGCCCATTCCGGCTACTCTAGGTGACTAGGGTATTAGGGGAGGCATTGGGACGCCAGAAGCTTCATGACAAGCAGTAATCTTGGAGGGAGCCACGTAAGAAAAAGACACCTGGTCCTGGCTTGGCAGGAACTCCAGCAACTTGCTCAGAAGGTGCACTGTGTGAGCATGTTTAGTTGACCCAGGGGACAGCGTGTGGGCATGTTTAGTTGACCCAGGGGACAGTGTGTGGGCATGTTTAGTTGACCCAGGGGACAGTGTGTGGGCATGTTTAGTTTACCCAGGGGACAGCGTGTGGGCATGTTTAGTTGACTCAGGGCATGTTGGGTGGCATCTTTCAGGCTGGTTTAACCTGCTTTATTCTGACCAGGTGTTATGAACACAGTATGTCAGAAATAGGATACACTTGTGTCTTTCCACAATGTCAGAATGTATTATGTAAAGGAAAACTCACAAGCTACTTTGGTTTGCTACAATTTACAAGTAATTTCAACTTCCTTTGATGGCCTGGCTGTAGGCAAGCAAGGTTTTACCTTATTACTTTAGTCATAGGTAACAACTCTGAGTTGCAGGTTACCAAATGGCTACAAAATATTTAAAGAAGCTTGCTATGAAGACCTGGGTGGCCATGAACTCACAGAGATCCACTTGCCTCTGCTTCCCTGAATGCTGTGGTTAAAGGTGAGTGCTATCACATGTGTTTGCTTATTTCTTTTAATGATTTATTTTCTGTTTCATGTGCAGTGGTGTTTTGCCTGTATGTATGTCTGCATAAGAGTGTCAGATCCTCTGGAATTGGCAATACAGAAGATTGTGAGCTGCCGTGTGGGCGCTGGGAATGGAGC